TGAGTCTCCACTTCCTTGTCATTCAAGGCCTCCCAGACCAAGGTCTGAGGCTCTGAATCCGCAGGTGTTGGTTCCAACCGTGCCCTCTAGCAGCCAGTGCTCTGCTTCCCAGCCCGAGGCTGACGGACAGCTGAGCCCAGGCTCCAAGAGGGCGTGGGTCCCCCACCCCATACTGTTGAGAGCCAGCGCTAAGGCTCTCTCAGCTGTCCCCTGACCAGCACAAGTGAGGAGAAAATACAGGAAGAGCACAGCACCCCAGGCCTGGAGCGCAGGTCCCCTAGTTCCACTCCACACATGCTGAGACCACACTCCTGCCTCCTGGCCCATACCCGGCCTGCTCCCCACACCTCTGCCTGCCCAGCTGCTGGCCCCAGCTGAATGCATTCACTCTGTGAATACAAAAGAAATATTGTGAGTCTAATTCTTTTTAAAATGATAAAATTTGTCTATATTTACCACATGCTAGCCCCCAGCTTCCTGAAAGCTAAAAATATTTTAATGTCATATTTCCATGTAAATTTTAGATTAGAATTTAATACCCTTTTAACATACATTAAAATTTTTAGCATTCTTCAGGAGTATTTTAAGGGTTTATGTGCACTGAAAAAAATGGAACTGGCTGGGGGAGGCTGTCAATTAGGAGAGAAGCTTCTGGGGCTGGAGATTTAGTTCAGTGGCATAAGCACCTGCCTTGCAAGCAGGTTCTTGTGAACAAGCAAGTGAGTTCGATCCCCGGTACCGATAAAAAGGAAAAAGACCAAAAAAAAAAAGGAGAGATTCTTCTAGAAGCAAGGTTACCTCAACTCTCCACAGCCATAGCCACTTGGGCATTGCTCTTCTGGACAGACCCTGGAGCTCTGGGGAGGGGCAAAGCCTCAGTTCCTTGCAAGGAAATGGCTTTGATTGGTAGCTTCCCTGAGGACTCAAAGGATTCTGCTCAGCCACTCGGGGCCAAGATGGGCGCTCTCCTGGGCTCAGACCCTCATCCTGCCGCTTACTCACAGGTGGCCTTGTCATGCTCATCATCTTGCCTCAAAACAGGGCCAGGGTCAGAGTTCACACAAAGATCCGTTTGGTGAAAGCACAGTAAAGTGGAAATCCTGTTGTCTCCACAGAAGGGTGGCCCTGAGCGCAGGCTGGCCAGCTGCGATGGTCCCCTTCCCTGCTGCTAGGACACAACTCCTGACATCACACCTTAAGAGAGGGGCTGTGTCTCAGCCCATGCTGGGCCAGCTCCAAGATGGAACCATCACAGTGAAGGGCCTGGCAGAGCAAAGCTGCTTAGTTCATGGCAACCAGGAAGCAGAGCAGGGGGATAGCACCTGGAGGAGGGACCAGCGACCCGACACAGACCCTAAGGTCAGCCAGCCAGACACACCCAGGAGTCCCCAGGGCTCCTGACGCAGATCAAGTCAACACCCCACCCTCACTGCTACCCTGGCCTTGCTAAGGCTGTGACACTTGTGACAGCTGGCAGCAAGAGACACTGTGTGTCCCAGCAGACTTGACTTAGCCCCAACGCGTGGTCCCATTTTCCCTCTGGGAGCCGTAGGCCACAGGAACCATGGACGGGCCTGGCCTTGCTGACCACTGACCCTCCAGCAGCCTGGCTGGACAGCAGGTAACTGGAACCAAGGCTCCCACCTGCGCATCCCCGGATGGCAGCCTGGTGGATGGGTCCCCTGGGCCTCCCCACCAGCACGCAGGAGGAGGCACCCTGCAAACACGGCTCTGGGGTCTATGCAGGGCTGTTGGCTTCTCCACGAGGCTTAGGACAGACAGCTGGAGTCTGCTCAGCTGTGCACAGGGTGGAGAAGCCTCGGCCAGGCCTCAGCCAGCCTCTCCACACCTGGTGGACCTCAGCCCCTCTGAAACCTTGCTCACCAGCCTCGGCGCCAAGGAGCAGATCGCTATGGCCTCTGGGTAGTTCTCCCACACACACAGCTCCTTGCTGGTCATGCCAGGCAGCCCAGGAAGGCTTCAAACGGCCAGAGGAGATGCGGTGGGAGCTTCCTCCTGCCCTGGGGTCTGGCGCACTCAGCCCACCATCCCGGCACACTGGCCTGGGCACCTGAGAGTCTCAAACTCGGGGATCCCCCCATCTGTGAGTGCCCATCTGCAAGCTGCAGCCCAAAATCTGCTGACAGGTGGGAAGGATCTGGTGAGAGGCTGAGCGCATGGGGAGCTGGTCCTAAAGACTAGTGTAAGGCCTGGTGAAGACGCTCTGCAAACCTGTTCAGACAGTCATCAACCGGAACAAGAAATTTACAGTGTGGAGGCACAAAACCCAGTGTGCTAATCACTCTCAGGGCATCATAACAAGGCATGCATCAGGCTGGGGATGGTGTGCACACCTGTAATCCCAGTACTTGGGAGGCTGAGGCAGGAGGATTGCTGTGAGTTCGAAGCCAGCCTGAAATATATAGAGAAATCCTGTCTTAAAAATATGTATATATATATATATATATATATATATATATATATATGTATGTATTGATTACTGATCAGGCAGGAGGAAGGACCCAAAGACCAGGTGGGGACCCATGGTAGTCTAGGCTCCATGGATCAGGTAGTCAGTAGCAGCCTGAGGGGGAGCTCCCCAACCAGGCAGAAACGTAAGCATTCAGCATACATTCAACAAGCACCCACTGACACCAGCCCTGTGCTGTGCTTGCAAGGGCCCTGAGGGGCAGAATGACCCTGTCTGCCTGTCCTCCCCGTCCCCAAGGCTTCGGCTCACTCTCCAGTGCTCGGCTGACCGGAGCTCTGCAGGCAGCTGCTGCAGATTCTCTCCATCGTGGCCAGCGCTGAGGGCCATCCTGAGGGAATGCGGACCATGGCTCTCCGAATCCAACTGAAAATGACAAGGTAATGGTCACCAAGGTGGTGAAAAATGGGTACCAAGGAGACGTCACCACACAGACGGACAGCAGATGAGACAGGGACGCCTCCTCTTCTCCCAGGGCTTGAGAGCCCCTCTAAGGAGCAAGGGTGGTGGCCACACACACAGAGTTCCCTTGGTCGCCCCAGAAATTGTCCACTCACTGCAGAAACTGTGGCTCCCAGCAGCAGCTCCCTGGGAAAGGAGAACCTGAGGGTCCCTGGGGCCTGGACACTTATGTTCCAGGCTGTGACAGGCCAGATCCTGGCCGGTGGCCACACCCTCATCCTCTAGGCTGTTGTCTAACAGCCTCCTAGAGGGCCCCTGGCCCAGACAGGGCTTCATGCTGCCTTGTGACCCACGATGACCCTCAGACCGATGGCTGTGCTGTCCCATTTCTGGGCCCAACTCTCCCAAAGGTCTGGTCCTCCCTGAGGCCCAAGCCTTCAGGGCTCCAGGCTGGGAGCTGGCCAGGAGTGAGGGCAAGACTTCTCCCAGATGATTGGCCTGGTAGGGGTCACATGACCACCATGGGGCCAATCCTGAGCCTGCGAGGGGCAGGTCCCTAAGGGAAGCCCCTGCTTCCAGTGAGCGAGGTCAGGGCCAAGCGCCAGGAGGGTGGACAGGCCTGTCCTGCAGCTCCTCTATACCAATCACCATTCCCCCAAGTGGGGCTGTTAGCATCATCTTGCCCCCTCACAAGCCTGAAAGAGGAAGGAGTTTTGCCCAGCAAGGGAGTAGCACAGGGGATACCTGGGGCTGACTCCAACCTTGAGGACGCCTCCCCTTCCGGAGCACTCTCCCTGTGCAGGAGGGACAGGAAGGCCTCAGCAGGTCCGGATGTGTGAGTTTGTGTACCGTGTCTGTGTGTGATGATGTGTACCATGTGTGCACATGCATGTGTCTGCATGTGCATTTATGTGTGTGCATATGTCCACGTGTGTGCACACCTTTGTGTGAACGTGTGTGTGCGCATGTGTATCTGTGTGTATGGCATACCTGTGTGTTCCCAGGTGTCTAAGGTTGCATTGTGCATGTATACTGTGGCTATCTGCGCATGAGTTTGTGTGCATGTGTGTGTGCCTATGCATGTGTGCATGTGTGCACACATGTGTGAGATTGTGCTGCACGCAATGCTATGCCTGTGTCCAAGCATATGAGGTTTTTGTGAATGTGTGTGTATGCATGTGAGCTTGTGTGTGCGTTTGTGTGTGTGTGTATGTCTGCATGTGAATTTGTGTGTGCACATACCTGTACATGTGCATGTGTGTGTACGTGTGTACAAGTCTCTCCCCCACCGCCTGGCCCCCCCCACACTCCTGCACCGGCTGCCTGCCCTCTGCTCTCCCCACAGCCCAGCAGCTAGCCCCTGTCTTGGTACACACAGCTCTGTCATATCTGATTTGCAACACTGCGTCTGTGTCTGGCCCACAGGAGCATCCAGTTGGGCTCCTTCAGGTCAAGGCGTGCGCGCCAGAGCCCCTGGCTCTTCCGCAGAGCTGGAACCCACAGCCTCTACTGGGGCCTGGGCCCCTTGGCTTTGTCCTTCACACAGATGGGGACATCAAGGCCGAGTCCTGCCAATGTATCCAGGTGCACCACGGCCAAAGGCAGAGGCGGGGTCTGAATCGGCCTCTGGAACGCCCTCCCTGTCTCATGGCACAGGCCTGGCGGGTGTCCCCAGGTGTCCTCAGCACCTGCCTCCAGGACCTGCTCCTCCAGGAGGCCCGCAGACAACAGCCTGCTCCCTGCCACACCGTTCCTGGTCTGGGCCACCTGGGCGAGGACCTGTGGACTGCGGAGCTCTGACCCGAGTCAGGAGTGGGAGCCTCGGAGGCCAGTGTGGGGGAAGGCTTGGGCCTCGGCCCAGGGGAGCCCAGTGGCACTCCCCACACCCCTCCTGGAGGCGAGGCCAGGTGACCTCCCCTGCTGGCTCCTTGCCACCTGGTGATAAGGATGCTATGGCCACCCCCACCGCAGCCACCCTCGTACAGCTGTGACTCCCAGCAGCCACTGGGCTGTCACCAGGCTGCAGCTGGAGCACACACCTGCCTGTCCACAGCAGGGCAGGACAGTGAGACAGGGAACTGCCCGGCCTCCTACACTCACCTGCCTGCCGGGGCTCTCTCAGGGTGACCTGCAGACTGTCTCCTCCCTGCAAGCAGAGCCCCTCCCTACCCGCTCAGTGCCTGACACAAAGCACGTGCTCAACAAATTTTTGTTTGGTTTGGCTTTTTGAGACAGAGTTTCTTTATGTAGCCCAGATTGGCCTCAAACACACAGCGATCCTCCTGCCTCAGCCTCCCAAGTGCTGGGGTTACAGGCATGTGCCACCACGCCCAGATCTCATCAAATATTTGTGAATGAACAGAGTGAATGCTGAGTTCCCAGGAGGTTCTGTGGCTATGAAGGACTCGGGTTGCAGGGGTCAATGGGCAAAGCAGGGTTCTCTCCTGGCAGCTTCGCAGCCTGTCTCAGCCACGCACTGTGCTCCAAGCAGTGGGTACCGGGTACTGGTGTCTCCCAGACACCAGAACATGTGCAGGGTGTCGATGAAGTCAGGGTGGCAATGCCAGGTCAGGAGGTGGCACCAGGTACTGGCAGGGAGTAGGATTCCCCCTGCGGGGAGCAAACAAGCCCCCCACCCCATGTGTGCTGGAGATACTTCGCCTCTCTTAGCTTCAGGACTATGCCTGACTTCATCCCTGCCTGGCTCCCCATCTGCTGCCTGGGACACAAGTTCTGTTCTGTTTCTGCTCACCCTTGCTCATCAGATGTCATAGTTCTCACCCGAGTAGCGACATTGGGAAGGACATATGTCTGGAGCCTTGAAGACCTAGGTTGCAATTCTGGCTCAATTTCTTCCTCTGTGTGACACTGGGTTAGTTACATCCTTTCCATGAGCTGCAGTTTCCTCATCTGTGAAATGGGCTCATAATCTCTGCCTCACAGGGCCATGAGAAATCAATGATGGGGTCTATGGCCCAGTCTTGTCAGAAATCAATGATGAGAGATTTCTGAGGTGGAGCCCATAGCAGGTATTCACTCAGCATCTGTGAAATAAGTTACTGCCTTGCATTGGTACAGCCTGGAACACAGAGGCACAGGGCTTCACCCAGGGCCTCCCTGGAGAGGGAGAGACATGAAGAAAACTGGATGCAGCAGCGCAGTGAGCACCAGGCACCTCCTAGCTCCAGGAGCTCTGCATGGCCACACAAGCTGGATATGTCCACCAAGAGGACTGTGACATCAGTCAAGGTAAGTGTGCCATCAGTCAAAATGACCTCCACAGAAGCCAAGCTGGCTACCTCGAGAGCTAAGATGGCCGCCGTGTGGCCTCCACATTGACCTCCAAAGCAGCGCCCACTGGACAGTAAGTGCCCCACTGCGGCTAGATTTAAACCAGAACAAATGAATCATTAAATCTGTGCCCCGACTCCAAATGGCATGAGTCAAAGCCCAGGACAGCCCAAATTCTCCCAGAACAAGAGGAAAGCCCCAGCCCACCTTGTCACCCCGAGCGTGCTGGGTATTTCCCTTTGTCTTTTCCTCTTTTGTCTTTTTGTCTTCTGTTAGCAGAACCACCAAGAATCAGCCACAAAATCAGTTAAAGCTTCCAAAGTGCTTCTTTCTCCAGAAATCTTTTATAAAAGGTGAAAGATTTACAAGACCTGAAGAGCAAACCAAGCAGGATAATTGTTTTTGGAATGACCCCAATATTTTCACCCCGGCGACCCTGACTGGGCATCTTGCCCCATATTTATGATGCCTGGTTCCCTGCGCACTGCCAGGCGACCTTTCCGAGGCCCCTCCACGGGCCCTCCGTCCCTTATCGGCCTGTAACTCACCCTGACGTTATCTCTCAGGAGGGTTTTATGCACTTTAATTTAACTCCCCTCGTCATTACTTCCCGGACTTCAAGGTTTTCTCTTTCGAGCTGCCCTTCCCGGGACAGGCATAATCTGTTTGCCATCAAGCCCAATAAATATGTTTGTGCGAGAGGCTGGAGCCTTGGGGAGAGGAGCTCAGGCTGGGGAGGCAGCCCGGCTCTCATCCCGCTCGGGCTTCCGGGCCGGCCTGGGTGTCCTGGAAACCAGTGGGCACCAGAGCCGCCACCGCCACCACCTTGGTCCTCAGGCCAGGTGACCAAATGTAGCACCTGAAAGTGCAGGGCGCCCAGATAAACTTGGATTTCAGGTAGACAAAATGGTTTCATCGTAAACACGGCCCGGCCCGTGCAGCAGGCGCTTAAAGTCAGTCGTGGTTTTTCCGAAGCTCCTGGACGTGGCCGCTCCCCTCTCGTCCTCCTTGCTTTTCGCACCCTAATTTTTCTCCTCTTTTCCTCCCGCCCTCTTCTTTTGCAGGGCTGAGGGTTAAACCCTGGGACTTTGCATCGAGCTACACTGCTAGCCCTTTTTGTTGTTTCCTTTTTCTTTTTTCTGCTCTTCTTTCTTGCAATCCTCCTGCCTCAGCCTCCCAGAGTTCTGAGATTACAGGTGTCCACTCCATGCCCAACCTAATTTTCTCATCCTGTAAGGACATCAGTGAGGTCGGCTTTGGTGACTTCATTTTAACTCAGTGTCCTCTTTAAAGGCCTCATCTCTGGACAGTCACCTTCCCAGATACCAGAGGTCAGGACCTCAACAGATGAACTGGGGTTGGATGGCGGGACCAACTCAGCTCATCACAGGGGTGATGCCTCCTTCAGGAAGCCCCAGAGCCGGGGCCTGCAGTGGGGTGACCGTGAAAACAGCAACCTCACTGTTTGGCCTCGTGGATCCCCACGCTTATCTCTGAGCAGGCCCATGAGGCGTCACTGCAATCAGACCCCACGCTGACGTCACCACACTGTCCTCTCGGCGCACCGCTGTGTGGGGGAGCACAGGGAGGCCCCGTGCAACCCTGTCACACAGCCCGGCAGGAGTAGCCCCAGGACCACCGGCAGGTGCCAGGACCCCAGACCAGGGTTCATCTTCTCTTAGCCAGGCAGTCTGTGCCTCTCGTCCTCTAGAAGCCAGGCGAGCTGCCCCTCTTGGCAGAGCCTACCTTGTGGCCAGAAGGCTCTCTTCATGACAGGGATCCTGAGAGGCCGTGGGCCAGGGTTCTCCTGGGCCAGCTGTGCAAGGTGCCTCCACGGGCAAGGTCCCCAAGAGGCCTGTGGGAGAGGAGGCCCCAGCTGCAGAGGGCTTGAGGGGGTCTCCCAGTAGGCTCTCCTCCATGGTGCCAGGCAGCCTGGGGATGCTCAGGTGCCCAAGAGCCTCACGGAGCACTTGAGAGACAGCAGAGTCCCAAGGAGCAAAGGTCGATGGGACCCCGGCCAGTGAGGATGAAAGATGCCCAGCCTGGCACCTGCTTCCGTCTGCAATTTCCCCAGTGACGAGTGAGGAAGGTCTCCAGCATTTCTTACTTACCTGTTGGCCTTCTGTGTGGCCTTCTTTTTTTTTTTTGGTGTAGCCTTCTTTTAAGAAATAGGGCCAGATGTGGTGGTCCAGTCCTGTCATCCCAGCACTCTGGAGGCTGAAGCAGAAAGATCATCTGGAGTTTGAGGCCAACTTGGTTTACACAGTGAGTTCAAGGCCAGCCTGAACTACACAGTAAGACGCTGTGTCAAAAAAAATAAAAAGAAAGAAAGAAAGAAGACAGAGTGTGTGTGTGCATGGATCATGTGAGTTTTAAAGAAGCGTTATCTTAGCTTGTGACTCTAGAGGCCTGTTACGGTTTCAGTCTGAAGTATCCCCCCAAAGAGCCCGGCCTGAGGGTTGGTCCCAGTGTGGCATGTTAACAAGAGACATGAAACACGACTGGGTCATTCGGGAGCTGATGTCATTAGCGGATTAATCCAGTTCACCACTTCATAGCCAAAGGGGCCATGAGACAGGGGTGGGTCTCCAGCTGCATCTGGTCCCAGCACCTCCTCTCTGGCTCCCCCATCCCTGCATCCTGGCTGCACTGAGGTGAACGTGTCTTCTGCCACACCACCACCAACAACAAAAACCAAAAACAGTTAATTATCAAGCACAGAAGTCCGTATTTGCTGTTCTGAGCTATACTGACTATTAAGGAACTATGTTCAGTGTTTCAGCACTGACATACATTTGGGGGGAAACTGGAATCAAGTTTATAGTTTAGATCCAAAACATCTTCCTGATGGAATCCGATTTGTCTACTCTCTTTTGTTGCCTGTGCCCTTGGCATTGTAGCCAGGACCCTTTGCCAACCCTGCCTGTGTGTTTTCAGAGTGCAGCTTTCGCTGCTTGGCACCTCTTCCGGGCTGCCCAGAGCCCTCCCACTGCCTGCCCCACCCGCTGACCCGTTTCAGGCTCCCTAAAAGCTCTCCCATCCTCCCAAAGGCTGTGCCCAGCCCCGCACTGGGCAGTCACCTTCCCTTCTGTGTGGGCTCTGAGCCCAGCCCTTCACCCACTGCCTTCAGAGCCCTGAGCACCCCACCTGTCTACTTCCTGCCTGCAGCTGAGATCCTCGAGGCGGACACCAGGTCTGCCCTGCTCAGCCCGTGACCCCAGCGCCTGGAATGCTGGCCCAGGTTTCACTGTGCCTACAGGGTGGGTGCCACTCCTAGATGCCCCCACCGTAGTGGGCACCAGCTCGCAGTGACTGCATGGTCCCCTGACCATGGGCACTGCCCACACAGCCACAGTTGGAAGCATGGACTTCACATGAAAAGCAAGGACAGGCACACTGACCCCGAGCGAGGCAGCGGACAGCCGTCCCTTTGGGGAGAGGTCACACATGATGGCAAACTCACTGCGCTATACCCTGGGGAGCCGGGCCCCTCACACTGTGAAAGTTAGACCTCAACTCCAAAGTTAGACTCAGGGCTGAGGATGTAGCTCAGGGGACAGCCCATCTGCCAGGCCCTGGGTTTGATCCTCAGTACCACAAGGAAAAAAAAGTGGAGAAACAAAAAGGATTGTTGATATGTCTGAGTCCAATGAATTTATAATATTAGATGATTAAACCCAGAAACAAAAGCAGAAGCCAGGAAATCCATGTCAGGCCATGTCTATGTGGCAGTGTGGTACCAACACCAGCTTCCTGGCTGCATATTATAGCACAAGCACGTGCGATGCCACTCTGGGAGCGGGTGTGGTGGTGCACACCTCTCATCCCAGCACTAAGGAGGCTGAGGCAGGAGGGTTACTGTGAGTTCGAGGCCAGCTGGGCCGCCTAGTGAGTTCAAGACTGGCCTCAGCCTCATGAGTTCTGAGATTACAGGTGTGTGCCTTCATACCCAGCAGCCTCTAATATTTTAAAATACTATTCCTGCATATCTTGGTTGCCATACTTGATAACCTAAATGATACAAAAGCAAATGGCATGGAGTCTGCCCGAGTCCCAGAACACTGACAGGAAGTCTCCTGACAACTTCTCTCCAGGCGCCAGAGCCGTCCTCTGTCCCCTGTCTAATCAGTGCTTACCTGGGATGGGGCACAGAGAAGTCACCTACCAAATGCACACATCGAGGGCTACTGAAGGGGTGCACCTTACCTCAGCTGGCCTGGCTGGGGGGCGCCTGTCGCTGGGGCTGAGAGCCCGCAGCCACACAGCACACCAAGCTGCCATTCCTCCCCAGAGGTGCCCAGAACAGGAGGGCACTGCCTGCCCCTCTAGCGGCTGCAGCCTCCCGGGGCAGGCAGAGGCTGCACGGAGAAGATCATCCCGAGCAAAGCAGAGGCCTCCGGCTTCTAGGAGATTTATTTCCGGCGCGGGCTCAGGCAACAGCCCAGCTGAGGGACAGGCTTGCTGCCTCACTTGGGGGAGGGAGCTGGGTTTTATTTAATCTTCCAATGAGCTGGAACAGTGAGACGGCATGAACGGACATTAATTCTGAAACAAATTATTAGAGCACGATCCAGGATTCCGGGAACGCCATCTACCCCCCGCCTCTCCACCACCTCCCGCCCCAGCCATAAAACCTCTCCTCTGCACCGAGCCCCAGCATGGGCTGCACGGGCCTCCATTCAGGCAGAAGAGAAGATTCTAGAACATCCACACCCAGGGCCCACAGAGCTCAGACCATCAGCTGCCCTGGGGACAACCCCACATTTCTGTGGCCTCAATACCTATGCTCAAAGATGTCCTAGGCCAAGATGTCGCCTCTCCTGCCTGGGTGCCCCATATCCTCCTCCACTGCCTCCTCCTGGCCTACCTTGGGCCTCATGGACCTCCCAAGTTGCACACATCCAGCCATCTGAAGTGTTGCACAGCATCCACACCCCACTGCCAGCACGGTGGACACCTGCCCTGCCAGTTCCTTTGTCATCTCCCCAACCACCAGTCCAGCACCCCTATCTCTCTCTGGACATGGGCAGCAGGCAGGCCACATGGCCTGCCATCGCCCCTCAGCAGCCCAAGGTCCTTTAGAAACCTAGCTCCAACATTCTCTCTCCTCCCCCATTGCACTTAAAACCCTCAGGGGCCTCAGAAAACAGTAAGTGCTCAATAAGTGCCGATTGTTGGAGGAAGCGGAGCTCCAGTTCCCCGCCTTCCCCTCCAGAGACCCTCTCTGTGCCCAGCCCCTGGCGAGGAGCACAGGCCCAAGGTCCAGAGGAGGGGACCCCAGGGACCCCAACCCCTGCTGCAGCCCCCCAAATGCACAGGAGCAGAATTAGCCACAGCAGTGGGCAGCAGGACAGAGGGACACACGGCCTAGCACTGGGGGTCAGCAGCCCCAGGAAAGAAGCTGGCTGACAGGAGTCCCCTACCCGCGCTGGCGTCACACTCCCCAGCTGCCCAAGCCCCATTCGGATCAAATCCCACCTGGCAAGGAAGCAAGGGACAAAGAGGTCCTCCTGCTACAGGGGCAGGATGTGGGGTCTTGACTGTTGCAATTAAGTAATTTGACAATGACGTCCAAGCCGGGTGTAATGGCTCATACCTACAATCCCAGTACTTGGGAGGCTGAGGCAGGAAGATCTCTGTAAGTTCAAAGGCAGCCTGGGCTACAGAGCAGAGACCCTGTCTCAAAAAAACAAAAACAAACAAACAAAAAAAAACGAGAAAGAGAGAGAGAGAGAGAGAGAGAGAGAGAGAGAGATTAAAAATGAGTCCAAATGCCAGGTCTCTACACTCCAGGCTCTTCTCGGGTTTTAGGGCCCTGCATTTCCTTCTTTCCTGGGTCAGAATTCCTGAGAAGTAGCTGGGGACACAAACAGTCCCTGTGGGTGAGAACAGACACACCGCAGAGACTCAGTCCTTCCAGGCAGCTTTGAGGGGTGGCAGCAGGGGGCGCCGTCGGGGGGCGGGGATGCCCGCTTCCCCAGCGCTGGGCAGAGGCTGGGGTGCTTCTCCGGGACGCCCGCGCTCCAGGGGTCTGACCTTTCCTGGGTGACCCGCGTCTCCTGGAGCGGAGACTCCAAGGTCACCCCTGTCCTGAGACCCCGAGGGTGTGACTTGCAGGGTGCACAGCGGGGAGGGAGGAGCCCACAGGGCCCGAGCCCCGAGCCCCGAAGGCGGGGTCCCAGAGCCGCGGAGCGCCCCGGAGCGGCGCCGGCCCGGGGCCCGGGCGCTCCCGCGGGCTTTGGGGTGCGGGAGGGGAGCGGGGACGGGCCCGGGCCGGCCCCTCCAGCCGGGCTGCCGCGGAGGGCGCCCACACAGCCGCGAGCGCGGGCACCTCGGGAGCCCTCCCGCCGGCCGCGCCCCCGCTCCCCGCGCGGGGACAAAGGAGCCCTCCGGGCGGCGCCCACGCGCCGGGACGCGAGGCGGGCGCGGGCCGCGGGACCAGCTCCGGCGCAACTGCAGCCTCGTGGCGCCACCTGCGGGCCGCGGCGGGGTTCGCAGCCGGCTGGCCGCAGCTCGTGCGCGGCGGTCTCTGTGCCCTTTGGTTCGGCTGCCCCAGGGCAGGCCCCTCCCCCCCCCCCACGAGGAAGGACTGTTCCACACTCACAGGGGAAACTGAGTCCGCCCCACCCCCAGGCAGGAAGCGGGGCATCCAGGACCCTGCCCTGCTCTCCGCCACCGGAACTGGAGGGCCACCAAACCCAGCCAGCAACCTCTGCCGCCTGCAGAGCTGGGTCACCACCCCCACCACCTCTGTACCTCTCCTGCCCCAGGCCTCCTCTAGTGCCCACTCTGTCCTCAGTTCACCTGTCCTGAATTCATAGGAAAATCACACCATTAACTAACGCCCCCCACCCCGGGTTTGTCAGTGTTGGTTTTGTTTGGTTTCATTTTGTTTTTTTCTGTTTTTGTTTTTGTTTTTTTGTACTGGGAATTGAACTCAGGACCTCACACTTGCCAGGCAGTCGCTTGTGTCACTGAGCTAAACCCCCAGCCCCTCGTTTTGGTTTGAGACAGGATGTAACCCTGAATGACCTTCAGCTCAGGACAATCCTTCTGCCTCATCCTCGAACCAGGCTTTGAACAGAGACCCTTGGGGACCAGTCTTACCCCACCACGGAGGACCCCAGAAACCATGCCCAGGCAGACCTCTCTGCTCTGCCTGTCTAGACTGAGACCCCCCCCCCCAGTATCCCCACTGCCTGTCTAGACTGAGGCCCCCCAGTATCCCCCCACTTCTCAGCAGGGGCGCGGCACCCCCTGTGACAGTAGTGGAGCAACAATCACAAGGACTCAGGTGTGAGGCCCAGTTCAGCTCCCACCCTCAGAGCTACAAGTCTTGATGCCTCTAGGCTGAGCCTCCCACTTTACAGATAGCAAACCAAGTCTTTACTCAGGATCACATGGTCGCACAACCTTGGGCCCTTCTGAGCTTCCGGAGTAGTGTCCTTACCCTGGAGGACCAGCAGGAGTTCAGCAAAGCTCGCTATCCAAAAGTGGAAGGGACAGTGACAAACCTGGAGATTGGGGAGCCCAGAGAAGTAGAGCAGGTCAGTCAGGCAAGGATTCCCAAGAAAATAACATAGTGGGCTTTGGAGGTTGAGTAGGAGTTTGCCAGTAGAAACTTGCAGGCAAGAACATTTCAAGAAGAGATGTGCAGATTCGAGGGAACTTGGCTAATTCAGTCTATTACTCAATTTCTAGGTTCAGTTCCAGGCCCTGCTGTGTAGCCTCACTCTTCTGAGTCTCTTGTTTCCTCCTCTGTAAAATAAGGACAGCAGTACTGTCCTCACATGGGGCGGCTGCAGGGAGGGAGACTGAAGACCGTGACCTGGAGGGACGGTGTCCTTGAGTGTCATTCTGAGGGCACTAGGGAGCCATAGGAGGTGTCGGAGCCAAAGAAGGACCCTCAGGTTTGAAGGTGCTCACTGGGCAGGGACTGGGTTCCTTAGGAAGGACGCATAGCAGGGCCAGGAGTTCTGGCCCCAGCCCTGTCCTCAGCAGGTCCCCTCGGACTGACACCTCAACCTCCACTCTGCGGGGCTCTCTGACCACCCACACCCTCAGAGAGCAAGGCTGCTGTGCCCGCCTCTTCCCCCTCCTCCCCAGGGACACGGTGGCACCACTGTGGTGGGCCCATTGCCCTCCAAAGAACCAATTAAAGCCCCTGCAGAGCTCAGGGCTTGGCCATCATTTCTGGCCTGTGCAGCCAGAAAGAAATCTCAAGGACAGGAGAGGATGGACTAGGAGGGAGCTGGTGGGGGCTGGAGCAGGGGTGGGGGTCAGCAGAGACCAGGCAGCCTCACCCCAGTCGCCCCAGATGCCAGGCCCCGGACTTCGGCTGTCACACACAGGGCAGGGTGTCCTGACCCAGGGCAGCCAGCACTGCCCCTGAGCCCAGGGAGGAAGAAGTGAGGGATCCCCGGGCAGGGAAAGGGGCGGAGATCCTGACAGAGGTCCTGGGGAGCTGGACTTGAGAGCATGAATGAGAGGTTACCCAATCTCAGGGTCATTCTCCCCAACCCGACATGACTCTGATTCTTGAGGCATCCCTGTGAGAACTAGGAAACTCACGTCTTCTGCCATCTTTGAGAAAACTTCTAGCTTTGGGGAATCTGCCACGTATAGAGTAGGAACAGTGCTCCTAACATAGCGCAGTGCACAACTTGGACAATCATGCACTGCAGCTCTAGTTAAAGGAGTCTGGAGAGACTGGAGGGCAGGCTGAGGGGCCTCGGCCAGCAGACGGGTGGAAGCAGGTGCTCCTGGGGATGTGCCCAGCTCCTGCCGCAGGGAGCTGCACGTAGCTGGGAATGAGGGCAAAAGGACAGTGACCACAATGAATCACCACACCCACAGTCCCATAACCGGGCTCTGGCAGTGCCCCCCAAAATAAGTGCCACCATCGGGACATTCTCACTGAGCTATGCCCTCAGCCCTTTTAAAATATTTTTGAGACAAGATTTTGCTAAATTGTCTGGGCTGGGCTCAAACTTACAATCCTCTTGCCTCAGCCTCCCGAAGGGCTGGAATTACAGGCATCACCAGGTGCCATCACCTGGGTTGATCCTTGCATTGTTTTTCTGCTGTGTCTTTTTTGTTCTGCTTTGTTTTATGGATGCATTTTGCAGCATGAACAATCATATTCACGGTGGGGAGTTTGAATTCATTCCATTTTATGGATGAGAAGATGGAGGCTAGCAGCATGGACATCACTTACCCTGTGGGCCCTGCCTGCCCCCTGTAAGACACGGGAGAGGGAGAGGGATGAGATGGGAGAGGTCCCATGCTGTCCTCAGGGAGACAGCCCCTGTCCCGCAGTGGTCACCTGCTTACTGTCATCTGCTCAGAATGAGGTGCCCAGTCCAGCTCTCATGAAGACCACGTCAAACATGGGTTTAATGTGGGGTTTTTTGACAGGAGGAGAGGCACAGCTGAGCAGGACAGGTGACACCCCCTGGGCCCTGGAGGACAAAGGTAGCAAAGCTGGG